AATACGAAGACGATCTGGATGTCTCTCATAAAATAAATGAATTCCTCTGAAAACTATGTAGCGGTTCTGTTTGATGAAATGGAAATTTTGCCTAGTCTTCATGAACATACTGGCTTCATAGAGGGCTTTGAAGACGTGGGTGAAGATATTTTTATAGCTACATTGCAGATCATGTCCTAATGTTTATGATCAGAGGTTTGAAAAAACAATGGAAAGCTCCTATCTCTTACAATTTTTCCAGTAGAGGGGGTGCAAAAATCTTGCACCCATCTATCACCCATCGATCTAAAACCGGTGACAGTAATATGTGATCAGAATAATATTAGTGTCATCAATAGTCTAATGATTGACACCAAAAAGAAATATTTGAGCTGTGGTAACATATCCACATATCGAGAAAGCTCTTTCGAAATTGATGATTCCAAAGTCTATCCTATTCTGGATCCTCGTCATTTGTTGAAAGGAATGAGAAATAATTTTATCAAAAAGGATTTATATTATTCGAAAAATAATGCCAGGAAAACAGCAAAATGGGAGCATGTACGAAAGCTTTATGAAAATGATAACGGGCCAATTGACGGTTCAAAAGTTCTGCCGCATATTACTGATGAACACATCTATGAGAAGAAAAATAGAAAAATGAAAGTGAAGAATGCAGCTCACATTTTCAGCCAGAGGTGAGCACCAACTCTTCAGTTGGCTAGTCAAATTGGTGAGTATCTCTTTTCTATATTTTTCATTGCATAATTTTTGTTAAGGATTAAATCTGATTATTTTAGTTTCAAATATTTTGATTAGTGATTATTGTAGTATAATTATATTTATATCAGATATAATTTTCACTTTAAAACTCACACATCAAACTCAACATTGATAGGTTTATGTGTTTACTACATTTATTGTTGTTTTATTGCAGATTCTGCAAACAAAATCGGAACCCATGCGGAGCATACATCGGAGTTACTCTTTTTTTTCAATCGTTTATTTGACTCTGAATGGTTAAAAAAACAGAGAAGGGAAAAATATTACGGTGTGGTTTAAGTGACACCTCTGATCACCTTCGTTTTTGGAATGAAGAAGCCCTGTTACTGCTGGATGGAATGGAGTTTCAGAGAATGAAGAAAAATGATCTAATAAGGCCTCCCAGCCTGAAGAATTGGTCATTTGTCATAAAAAATGTGAAGAATATTTGGCAGGTTCTGAAGTCCAATGGTTTTGATTATTTGTTAACAAGAAGGCTGAACCAGGATCCGCTTGAAAATATGTTTGGTCAATTGAGAAGCTTTGGAGCCTTATACACCAATCGTTCAGTTGTGAACGTAAGTAATGCTGACTGTAATATTACTGAAGCTATATGATATGCAGATATTACAGTTTATCAGAGTAGCACTCTATCTGGAAAGTTGAATGAGTTGTCCACTAGTTATGTAGCTGGCTTCATTTTGAAAAGAATCAGGAAGAGTATAATATGTTCAAATTGCAAAAACACAATGTTTTCAACCCATTATGAATCTGATGAAAATAGATTCATCTCTATTAGAGAATATGGTGGTGGCTGGGCTATAAGGCTTTGTTGCACAACACCTTTTTATGATATTAATAAAATTATACACTTTTGTTTTGATAGACAACCACATTCAATAATATTGGTTTATTTAATAAAACAAATTGTTAAGGCACAAGTTGATTTAAAATTTTTAACATGTGAAAATCAACATAAATTAAGCGTAATTGATTTGAATTTGAGAATTGCAATTAGAACCATATTGCACAATTCAGTTAAGATTCAGGCATATAGAATCTATTTAAATAGAATAAAAAAAAACTGAGAAAAAGTCACCACATGTAATAGTTTAGGTGCTTGATATCATATTATTGGTTTATTTGATTAACCTGTTTTATTTACTATGCCAAACTTTATAACATTAAAATTATTTACCCTTCATATACGAATTATGTTTCACTCCCATCTTGAAAAATTCATTATTGCATGAACTGTTACATATGAATATTATTTCTATTTTGGTATTGGAATCAACCATAGCAATGACTTTACTTTAATTTTAGTAGCAAATTAGAATATTTATATGTAACACTTTCAAAGTAAACAATGGTTGAGCTAATAAACTATGAGATTGGAACCTTTGGTGAACAGTTGAAACTTTTCCTAGAGATTAATTACCCTAACACCAAACTGATATTTTTTGTACTCGTCGCGTGTTTCGCTAACAAAGTTAGCATCTTCATCTATCAATTGATACTGTATCAGTTTTCTCCTGAAGATGCTAACCTTGTTAGCGAAACACGCGTCGAGTGCAAAAAATATCATTTTGGTGTTATGGTAATTGATCTCTAGGAAAATTTTCAATGGTTGTGTTTAAGTTTCCCGCTTATTTGTTTAGTTCCGATTCTTAGTTATAGAGGGAGCTGAAAATCGTTGCCAGCTGACAGCATTGTTGTCAACTACGCATGCTCATAGTTTGACAAATTATTGCTGCGACCTCTACAGGTGGGAACAACGAATTACAAAAGCATATTCGACCAATACCATTGCCGTGAAGCGTCTATAGAGTAAGTGGTTTGTGGTTAGGTGCTCAGATTATTACTGACATCCCTAAAAATTCTACATCTTTAGAAGACTTATATAACTATTCTGCTATGATTCTTCACTTCTAAATATCTGTAGTTGAGTGGACTTTTGATATAATTTCATGAACTACATCTTACGATTTGAAGCCGGGAACAGACATGCGGTATTCTGCAAATCCCGAACACCAATTATTCGCTGTTCAGCAAATAGCGACTAGTGTGTATGGGTTTCACATGGCGAATATTCGCTATTCGGTGTTATTTCGGTGTTTTCCATCGTCTGTCAGTATTTTAGGCGGACTCAAAGGAAACAAACATTTGCGATTGCTGTCGATACATACATGAGTGCAAAGTTTTCAAATGTGCTAGATGGTTCCTTCAACAAATCTGCCATGAGCTGTGTTCCATCATATCTAAAAATAGTGTATTCCATAACACTTCAAATCAAAATCAATATTGATGGTGAATTTATGAACTCAACAGAGCTAATAATTTCAAAAGAACAATTAAAAAGTACCTATGAAGACAAGTAGTGTTTTTGATGGTTAGTTGAACAATATATCTAATAATGTTGTTACTTATTTTTTCTTTTTCAACGAACTTTTCATCTTTCTTTATTTTCATAGTTTTTAGTTTACTTGGTTCGGTTGAATTTTTAAATTTACCAAAAGTTATTTCACAGTAGTTCCAAAACCTACCGTTGTCTGCTTCGGTTAATTGGTACAATCCACCACCTTTTTCTCCTTCTTGTAGGATTCCCTTTTTTCTTTAACTGCATATAAGCATAACTCATCATTATAACAGCTGCAGCATTAATTGTTTCACTTTCCATTTTAAAATGAATGAATATGTGTGATTGATGACTTGTTTATTCTGAAGTTATTCATGATCACTTTGATGAAATGAATAGAAACAGTTTTGTATAATTACTACTAGTTAATTTTGTTTACATGACCGGTTTCGGGTTTAATCGGGTTTCTACTTGATAATGGGGAAACAGGTCGTATAAATGAAATTAATTAGTGGTAATTAGACAAAAGTGTTTTTATTATTATTATTTGTTGTTCCCACACTTGGGAATATTTGGTAAATACGCCGCATATGTGTCCACCCAGCTTGACAAATGCCGAGTTGCTAGCGAATAGCGAATAGTGAATAATCGCGATTTGCCGAATACCGCATGTCTGTTCCCGGCTTGATCTTCACAAATTTCATTTAAAAAATATCACGATATGATTTGCTAACACAGTAGTTTTTCGTAGTGAGAACGTAAATATAACGTTTATATTACTTGTGATAGGCGTAAATATAGTTTTATCAAAATGTACCGTTAACAATTTATGATTGAACCAATCGATGATGTAATTTCAAGTTTGAGGTCATCTCTTGTCTCACCGGACTAAAAAATGACAGTAAAGTCAGCAAAACTCACTATTCCACCATTAGTTTTGAATTTCATAACAAATGGTCTGATCAGATATGAACTTGAACAAAAGATAATTTTCAAATTCTTTGGAAATTTGAAGGTATGGCAACTATGTTTTCGAATTTTTATTGTTCATGTTTTTCGTACGATTTTTTGTTCACCTATTCAATATATGTGAATTTTACTTTCACATGTAGTTTTAATAACTCTGAATAATCAAAAAATTAATCTACAAAGCCTCACCGAAGACATGGATTATTTTTCATTATCCGTTTCATGCTAATCTGTCAAATAATAAATGCTTTTCGGATAATGAATTTCTGCATTCAAAAAATACTATTTGAAAAGAAAAGTTATTTTCAAAAATAATTTTCTGTCAGTAGAGAACAAATATGTCCATAAGATAAAATACACTCTGTATAACTGAACTATTACGATAAAAACAATACACGCGAACAATACACCATCAAGAATATTGTGGACATAAATAGAAAACGACAACCCCAGCTTCAGTGCATGAAAATTACTTGGAATACTTGATTTACCAACCCCTTGTGCCATTTTATTTAGAGAAGGGAGGTCGTTTACACAAAGCGAAAGAAAAATCAATGAACTTTCAGTCCAAATAACAATTCCACTTGAGGAACGCGAAAATCCGAACGTAAACCTGATACCTTAGGGGTGAAATGGGCGTTCCTAGGGGTAGAGTGGGCGAGTCCGCGCGTCTATCCCCACTCTTACCGCTTTGTTTTCTCTCACAGCAGCCGGAAATGTGGTGGCTTGAACCATCATTGTTCTTGTCATCATAATATTGGGATAACATTTCCAGAAAGCGACTGCCTCAGATCTAATCTGTTTCCCAGTCGCTGTTCATACGCGGATGTACGAAATCTAGCTTATCTGCAGAGTTCAGTGATTCGAAGATAACAAATATTCAAGTTTTCACACGGTGCACTCCTTTCATTGATAACACGACACCCGAATTGTGTTGATCATAACTAGATTGTAGAGACGGTGCGGTAGCAGAGGAAAGACAAGTGATAACAGTGACTTTGTTCAGTGATACGTATGCTCATGATGGACGAAAGCTGTCGTCATCTGACGGCAGATGACATCAAGCAAGGCGAACTTTTCGACCAACGGTACCCGATTCCGGATAGTCCGCTGGATCTGAGAGGATCCAACGTCGATGCGCAAGAGATAAAAAGCGAGAAGGAAAAATCCGGGAAGAAAAACAATCACCAGCTAATAAAACCACCGTATTCTTACATAGCTCTGATAACAATGGCTATTTTGCAATCACCGCACAAAAAACTTACTCTGAGCGGGATTTGTGAGTTCATAATGTCCCGGTTTCATTACTACAGGGAAAAATTTCCCGCCTGGCAGAATTCCATCAGACACAACCTGTCGCTCAACGATTGCTTCATCAAAATCCCAAGGGAGCCTGGCAATCCAGGAAAAGGTAACTACTGGACTTTGGACCCGCTAGCGGAGGATATGTTTGATAATGGCAGTTTCTTGCGTAGAAGAAAGCGCTATAAGAGACCATCCCCCAACCTGATGCTGAGGGACCACCATGCCTCAGCAATGGTCGCCTCTTTTCTATCCAGTCAGGAAAACTACCACCACAGTATTTTCAGTCACGCCAGCATGCACAATCCTTACCCGTATATTCCGGGAATTCCATCAAATCTACCCAACAATCTACCGTTGCTGAGCCCCATGGATCTGTCCAGGCTGAATCTCAGCCATCTGGGACTGCTGCCGCAGCCTACTTTATGCAAGCCCGTTCCTGTTCAGGCTCCTAATATTTCGTCAGTTTCTGATTCGGAGGAGTTCATAGCCACGAAGATGAAGAAGAACAAGAATGGGTTCTCCATCGACTCCATTATGGGTAATGAAGGTAAGAACTTGAGAAAATCTGAGTTGAAAATAGCTGAGAGTCCAGATCTCGGCATGACGAGAATTCACAATCAAGGATCAGCATTTTCACCGCTTTCCTCTAGCGATGATTGGACTAGGTGAAACTTTTAGATCATTGATTTTTTTAGAAATGAAAACGTGTAAAGTTATTTTGTATAGCAGGTGCTTTTGAAAAGTTTTGGCATTTGGCTACATTCTAGTCAGAATTGTAGAAGTAGATTGGTATCCTTTTTGAATCTGAGAGAACTATTATTAACAGTAAAGTTGTTAACTTTCATAGAATCTGGAATGGGAACACTGAGAATATTGACGTTTCTATGCTGAATGGAAATTATTGTTATGACGAATAACTATAGGAAAAAAATTGAACTATTTGGATGTTGAGGATATAATACATTGAAAAAAATATTGCTGGGGTTACCAAATTTGAATTCATACTCGTATATGGTATCATTTAATAATTTTATTGGTTTGAATGAATTGAAATTGATAGAATTGAGTAAAATTTGAACATATTTAAGTCTTCACATAACTTGAAATTTATTACTTCCATATACTCTTTACTGTTCCGACAAAAGAGGTCAAGTCATTTTTCGCTTAAGTAGTTAAAAAAAATCTTATTGAGGTGGAATTAACTTGGTGATATGCTTACTCATTTGAAAATTAACGGATTATTTGCGAAAAATGTGACTCAATCATGAATAAATATAAAGAAAAATTTTCAATATATTCAGCGAAAATTTCAGTAATCAATTAGGGGGCTTATTGCCTAAATATTTTGCCGCCATTTTGCATTTTATAAATTGAGCAGGATTTCTTGTTGATGATCTTTCTGATTCCCCATCACGAGTTTTGAATGACTTTATAATTTTCCATATTAGTACAATGAGATTTACTATTTTTGAAAGAAATCAAAGAATATTAGACGATGAAAAATAAAACAAAATAATAAAATTCTCCAGTTAAATTAGTTTTTGCTACCGTAAGAGAAGCTCGAGAAAAAGTTGTTAATTTTCACAGCTGGAGAGTCTGTTTGATGGTATGTGGTATGTAATATGAGAAAACTCTAGAAGAAACACATTGAGGAGGAACCGTAATTCAAAAGTATTTATGTCTGAGTGAAAATGAGTGCAAAAATGAGCAAATTGAGCAATGATTGATATAAATTGGTACTATCATTCTGAACTGACAAATAAAATTTTGTATTCAATTTATTCATGAAAATCATAAAGACAGAATGGAATGAAAAATCGTAAGATACATTCCCTATCGGATTTATAACGTGAAATTCTATTTCAGCAGATTTATCTTTCATTTTTTCAAATTGTCAAACATAAAAAAACAGTTTAAAAAAAAATTATAAACAACTTTCAGCGTTATTGAAATATTATAGGAAAAAAATGTTTAAAATTAATTGTTGACTCCCGGAACGTTGTTTCTATTATTGATAGTAATTTTGAATAAACGGCTTCACATACTTCATATCTAGTTTGTTTATTGAATAAACAAAATTTTCAGTACAATAAATCAAAGCAGTCATTTAATTTGTTTGGAATGGAACAAACAAGTTCGTTTCAAAAAATAGTTCAAATATGTAGAGTTAATACTTCAAATCCAATGTCATGTAACAGATTTTTCGTATAATATAACAGAGATAACACTCAGTTCCAATGGAAATAATTTTTTTCGTATTACGTTCAGTTTCATTTTAATTTGTTGGTCGAATAGTTTGTGTGGGATTAAAACGATATGAGTTGATAACCTCATTATTGAGTATCTGTGTTATAATAGGATTTTGCCATGCACTCAGTGGTATAGTTTGGAAAAAAACATTTTTAGTTGATCAATGTTATTCCATATAATCGAGTTCGACTTAGAAAATAATGTCAATTTACAGTTTAAAATTTAAATTTTTTTTGCATTCTCAAAACAGAAAAAATTCCAAATTTTCCCTTCGAATAAATAAAAAAGCAATTTTTACTTATATTCCTTATTAAATAACCATCACATAACATTATTCTTGTTGCCGTTGTAGGAACTTTTCTTGTTCCATTAGCCTTTTGAATAAGTGTTTCACATGGGTTTCGAATCTTAAATTACTTTCGAGAATAAGCCTCAGACTTTTCTCTTTATCTACAATTGACAGGTCTGTGTCAAGTATTTTTATTTTCACTTCGTCTTCAATTATCTTCCTGACATTTTTTGGCCCAAAGATTGAAACATTTGACTTACTTAGGTTGTTAACTAGATAATGATTAGTTGCAGTTTCGACATGAATTGAGGAAAGATTAATGAACACTTGAACAGCATAGAAAAATGATTTTGATTTTCTTCATGAAAATTTTCTTCAGACCAACTCATCTCATTTTCTGTTCGTGATATCGAGTTGTCTTTAAATACAGATTCATTCATCGAATATTTACGAACAATGAATAAGTACAATGCATTTTATGAAACAGGATGACTGCTTGAATGTAGGTAATGGAAAGTTCTCTAAATTAGAAAATATAATACTAATATTTTAAAAATCTTAAAATGTGAATTAATGGCCTACCGAAACCTCCTGACAACGAATCACGAAATCACTAAAATAGTAAAATTATTCCGTAATCGTACTCTATGCAAATTAACAAGTAAGTATTATCAGTTATTGATGAAGGTGTATCAGTTATTGATGAAGGTACAGAAGATATGTCATTTGAGTAAGATATACGAAGGGGAGAGTCATTTAACAAAACTGCCGTTCTGAAAAGAAGACCATACCTCTAAGAAATAAAAATGTTTTATTTTTCATATTTAAAAAGTATATCTAGATGTTTCCGTAGAGCGAGAAAATTATTCGCTATGAATGAGATTCGAAAAAAATATCATCTGTTAAAGTCATTTTCTAACTATTTTTAATCTACAACTGTGATCAAGAAAAGTAATATGTTTTCGGAAAAACATCAATAACATGTCAAAAATGACTTACTATCAAGAACTGTACATAAATGTTGTTCATCATAGAGTGAGAAACAAAAAAAATCCCGAAGTTGGGGTATTGTGAACATTTTATGGCCTTTGAGAAAAAGAAAACATTTTCTGTTAGATATTAGTACATCCAATTCATAGGAAAATGTGAAAAAAAGTTTAGGACTACTTTCTTATGCACGGAGGTCTATTAAAGGTTTCATAGTTTTAATTTTTCATTATTAGTTTTTGCATATAGTTAAAATAGGTCAATTTGGTTCGTGAGTCTAGGATTTGTAAGTTTGGGAATGTGAGTTTGGGTTCTGTGGATTTAAGATTTATGAGTGGAATTATTGTGAGTGTTAGGTATGTAAGATCGTGAGTTTAGACTTTGTAGTATCGAGAATGGATAGATGGAGTATTGTGGGTATTGATTTTCCAGATTTGGAGTTATTTTGGAAATATGACCGATACTTGATAAAAATCCATTATAACGTTTTCAAAATGAACATTCAATATTAAAGATTACAAAATCGCAACACGTGTTTCGGCGTCACAATACTCTAATCTTGAAGCGCGAAATAGATGTCGCAATTTTGTAAACTTTTAAGTGGAAATCACACATCACAATGTTTTTTTTTGATAAATAACTTGATATTTCATGAATTTTACGTTTTAAAATTCATTCATTCATTTCATCAAAGAAAGAAAGATTCATCATCAAGTATATTGAAAATTTTGTGATGATCTCAAGTTTACCTAACAAACGTCATTCTTGGCGGTTTGGTGATTCTGTATATTATAGAGATGGTATTGTATATTTAGGTTCTTGAAAAAACCAACATCAGATTTTAATTTCGAAAAATAGAAACTTCAAAAAGCTTATATTTATCAGGGGATATTGATTCATTCAAAAATGTAAATGCGTATCTTACATTTTCAAAAACAGTTCTTACAAAATGTAAAGAAATATCTCGTTAGAGTTTGTGATTTACGTGCAAGTCATTCAAATCTTTTGAGCATTAATTTATTTCTAATCTATCATTGAGTTATTAACTGATAAATCAACAAAAAAATTGAATCTTGTATCACTGTAAATCTATCAAAGCAATAAAGTTACATTTTTAATCAAAGATAATTACATGAACAAACAAGACTCCTTCCATATATAATGTAGCCTTCCCAATCCAGATGCGAAAGAAATAATGTAAAACAGATTTTTCAGGAGCTGCCAAATATTTTCAAAGGTACCAATATCTCAGAAAGACCAAAGACATGTCGACTGTTAATGTGATTATATTGTTGCAATATTTATTATTTAGATTTAGTATTTTAGTTTTAGAGAATTTGAAACACACATTTCCCACCCGAAAGTTCTAGTAGAATCGGCCCCAAGAAAAAGAAATGAACAAAATCAACAAGTGAATAAGTAGAAGATACAATGACACATATTTCAGTTTCTGGGTAGGTATTTGGCGAAATTTCGATGAAATATGTGTCATGATTGGAAACGATTTTAGTTCCAGTAATGATAAAACTATTCTCTAAATTTCTTCATCACCTAGAACTGAAAGCGAACAAATTTAGGTACATACGATGCAATACAATACAATATATTTATTCCTTAAAACGATCAATGATATAGGAGTCGTCAAAGTATTACAAAATAAAAAATGAGAAATAAAACTTTTCTTTGTTTTTCACCACTTTTAGTTGTAACTAATGTTGTTATTGCAGTTTCGTCCTATAAGGACATTTTCAAACAATAAACAGTTTATTGTAATTGTGAAACTGCAGTAACAACATTAATTACGAATAAAAGTGGTAAAAAAACATAGAAAGTTTTATTTCTCATTTTTCATGGCGATCTACCACGTAGTAACGTGGTAGATCACATTCATCACTTTGTTACAAAATAGATAAATGCAACACATGAGAGTGCTCGTAGAGACCAAAAAAGAGTTAAGTAACTTTGAAGTCGAAAACCGTTTTTAAAAACAATTTATTTTATTCAAAATTACAATATAAATTTCTAGAGAACTTCTCACATCGAGATCTGCAAAATGAATGAATAAAAAGTTACGATGATAATCGTTTCTGGATCCGGGGTGGGAATCTGCAAGCACTGCATTTCCTTGGATAGTCTGCAAAATCTCTTCACATAACTAAAGCAATAAGATGAGTTTCCATAGAGGAAAATCTAACACACCCAGTTCATCAGTCTTTTAATTGACGAGTTCTTCCGAAAATGGATCGGAATAGGTTGCGAAAAATATAGATGCAGGTAGTAATTAGTTTCAAAATGTAATCAAAGTAGCTGATGAATAAGGAACTGAACAACTTCAAACTCTCAAATTTCATCTTTCATGAAAATTTCAATCATAATTTTCATACTTAAAAACTATATTGTGAGGAGAATTTCAAGGGCTTTAGAACAACTTACTTGATTGGGGG